TCTCATATTTCTATGAGCTTCTGTAGGTATGAAATTAAAATTGTTTTTCTCCTGTCAATCTGTCTTATGTCGATTTAATTATTAGGCCAGTCAAAAAACCTAGAAGGGAAGAAGTGAAAAGTTTTCCTCTCTTACACAAGCAAGTTCTTTACCTTCAAAAATAGGCATACTTACAACAGTAAATGGTAACTTGCCCTTAAATTTTAGTTACTAAACAAATGGGTAAACCAAAACAGTAATGTTGTATCTAAAAAAGCCACATGACTTCTAGAATGGTCATGTAATTACTTCATGACCAGCTCTGCTGAACATATTGGTAGGACTTCTGTTTGCCTCTTTAGATCAAAATAAAGAATAGATTAACCTCTCACCTCTGTAGCTATATCTTCAAAGAAAAATACTTAGAGGTAGCACTAACTGGACTTAGGAACTAACTTTTACTGTCTTATTCAGGAAGACAGAATCAAATAATTTAAGAAAGCTTCGAAAGTTAGGAAAATATTATGCCATTGAGTCATAAGGTTGCTGTCTGTGGCATCCCTGATGGGTGACTTAAGGTTAGGGAAGACAGCGTTACAAGGGACTTCTTTTACTAACGTTGTATATCTCTTTGGGAGTGTCTGAAGGTGCTGATGGATAGTGGGACAGGTTGACTAATGTGAGAACAGTGTCTTTGTCGTGAATGTCATTTTAGTCAAGTCTCCTATTTAGTGTCTTTCATCTCCCAAACAGACTGTCTTTGTTAAGCCTCTTCTAGTAAAAATAAAATCCAAGCCTTTCCACTAGTTATTGTAAATATCCAAAGAAATGATGAATGTAAAAGGACCTCGTAAACGCATATAAGACGTTGGTATGTGGTGAGATGAGATTACTGTTAAGAACTTTTTCAAAGACCTTTCAAGTCCTTATTATGTGATCTTATGTGAAGGGTAATGAAGTATTTAGTCCTACATATTACACAAGAAACATGGTTCAATAGAATCATGGTAGATTTTTGGGGGAAAAATGGTTCTGAGATCAAATAAGCATGGAGGATGCTGAGTTAGAGTCAAACAGGTTTCTTTACTGAAGAACTTCTTACAGCCTTTATTGTACCTAGAAACTCTCCACGAGAAAAAAGAGCAAGCAGTACAATCCTCACTAGGTATCCAAGGGGGATTGGTCCCAGAAATCTTCACAGATACCAAAATCTGTGGATGTTCAAGTCCCTTAAATAAAATAGCATAGTACAGTGAATACAGCTGGCCCTGTGTATCTGCAGGTTTCACAACCATGGTTGAATCCGTGGATGTGAAACCCATGGATACGTTGAGAAATCTGTGGATAGGGAGAGCAGACTGTACTTTGTAGATAACTGATAGCCCCACACAAATGAATTTTGTCCAGTGGAGGAAAAACTGATCTCCCTTTGTAGGGACAAAATGGATTTGGGTCTATTTCCCAAAAGTATTTGGCCACTGGACCCTTTCCTGTGGACCATGGAATACATTTTGCAACTGTTTGGCTTAGTCTGAAAAGGATGAGCCTCTGCAAGACCCCCCTTTTTTTTTTTTTTTAAAGACTGGCACCTGAGCTAACATCTGTTGCCAATCTTCGTTTTTCTTCTTCTTCTTCTTCTCCCCAAAGCCCCCCAGTGCATAGTTGTAGATTCTAGTTGTGAGTGCCTCTGGTTGTGTCATGTTGGATGCTGCCTCAGCATGGCCTGATTAGCGGTGCTATATCTGGGCCCAGGATCCGAACCGGCGAAACCCTAGACCACCAAAGCTGAGAGCGTGAATCTAACCACTCAGCCACAGGGCCGGCCCCTGAGATTCTTAATTATTATTTCAACAGCCCTCTCAGTGGGCCCTCTGTGTGCCTCTTTCATAGTAATTAAAAGGTAAGTTATGAGGTATATGAAGCAGAAAATCCAAACAGCTGCCAGATTTTGAGCGTAGTTTAGGCTCAGTTGTGATTTTTGACTGGATTGACCTCTTGGAGAGTCATGTTGTTTGTCAAAGTGTGTTCTAGTAACACCTACATGTGGACACCCATGGAGCTTGTCAAAAATAAAAATTTTCTAGAGTCACAGAAGGCCATGGAATCTGTATTTTTCCAAACTCTTCAAGTCATTCTTACGGATATGAAATAGCAAGAGAAGCACTATCTTGTACTTCACAAAGGGGGAGAGCTATGAAATTACTATGGCTTCTGTTGCATTTCAGAAAGCTTTTAGTGACTTTAGGTGAATTTTGGTCAAAAATTTCTATCTACGACACTGCCAATATTACATCATCTGAGGAATCTTCTATTTGTAGTTATATTTTGTCTTTAAAAAGATACAGTACAATTAACCTTCTAAGTCCTAATTGCTGCCATATCTATTTTCATATTCACCACTATACTCACTTTGCAGATATGGGTATAACTTCTTTAGAGGTAAGATAACATTGGACTGGAATGTCCAAAAGTAGCTGCATCACCACTAAGCAATCTTTTAAATGAACATATCTTTTGCAAAGGTTTCTGGATGCAACAACTCATTAAATTCCTGGACAATGGGAATTGTAGTTGAGAATGGTTTTCAGAACGTTAGTATCTTTGTTTTGAGGTAGAGTTGCTTATTAAAGATAACATGATTTTTTGGTAGACTGGTGACACTTTAGAAATAATGGGAAAGTGTCAAATTTAAGTAGTCATGGAGAACAGGTGGGAAAGTGGCAATATATCATGTAGGACCTTTAGAATATATCAATCATTACTGAGGAAATTCTATGCAATTCACATTAGTATCAGTCTTTCTGGGTTTTTTTCCCCCACTTTTAGTACCCAAAACTTCCCAGCACACAGTTGTATATTCTTCGTTGTGGGTCCTTCCAGTTGTGGCATGTGGGATGCCACCCCAGCGTGACTTGATGAGCAGTGCCATGTTGGCGCCCAGGACCTGAACCAACGAACCCCGGGCCGCCTGCAGCGGAGAGCATGAACTTAACCACTCGGCCACAGGGCCAGCCTCAGTCTGTTTTAAGAGATTAACCATGTAGTATCTCATGTGGACTGTTATAGTGTTGTGTTGGGGTGTTCATATTTTAACTAATAGATAAGCCTCTGGGCCAAGTCATATGGCACAATTTATCTATTGGTGTTCACTCATGCTCAGGATAACTTTTATAGATATTGAATTACTTCTTCAACTCCTTAATGAGTAAAAATTTAGTGATTCTTTAAATCTCTGGTTAAGGCAGGATAGGTTGTTGAGAACATGGTCCATTTTTCCACATTAGTAGCTTGGAGAGTAGTCTGCATATACTTATGCAAACCATACTGAGACTAGAACTAGAAATTCTTAATCCTAGCAGAAAACGGATGCAGACTTCTCTTGAAAAGAAGCATTTTACATTTTACAGAAAATTGTATTTTAAAGGGAGGTACAGGGAAGATATTTATTTCACACTTATACACAGATGGAAGCATGCCAATCTTTCAACCACACATTTGCACAGTGGGGACCACATTTCAGTGACCTTGAAGTAAATATCTATCTCCTGGGATCTTGTAATAAAAATGCTGTAATCCCACAAAAAAGACAATTCAAACAATTCCAATGGTTAAACTGTGAGCTGTTCTTGCTTGTCACATTATATGATGTGACAAGATTTTATAAAGCTTAACGGGATGTAAACACTGCTATGTCACCCATTTGCAGAAGAGAGACAACTCCATTTATGTTACATCTATTTTGTAACAACAACATGTAATTGAAATAGAGCAAACACAATTATCTCCTTCCAGCCAGCCAGTGAAATGTCTTTCCCACACACAGAAGAAGAAGAAAGATACTACACAGGGCAACCAAGAGATAAGAAGCAGGCTCCTCCGCCTGATCCTGATAGCATAAACAGCTCTTTCAACAAATATCTACTAAGTACCTACTATGTGTTAAGCTGGTGAGAGAGAAAGAGATGCTGAAGGTACAAATCCAAACCAGGCAAACATCCCGCTTTCAATGAGCTCCTTATCTGGTATGGGAGACAGAAAAAGAAAAGAAACACTACAGCTGTGGAACGTGGAAAAGACTGAGGGAGCGGAAGATAATCAGCTCAGCCAAGGCAACTCAAGGAAGGCTCTCTGGAAGAAAGGATGTGAGAATTGGGTATCTCAAATGAGTGAGACCTCATTGTGGAAAATCAGCAGAATCAAATTTTCTCACTTTACACTCAGACTGTGTTTTTTATTTAAAATGTGTCTCTTGTCAAGTAGAGTCTCTCTTATCTAGTCTGAAAATCTCTGTTACATAGCTTAGTTGTTTTTACATTTAGTATCATTATGGATATATTTGCTCTTGTCTGTCATATTTTATTCTATTCCTTGAATATTGCTTTTTTCTTATTTATATATCTTATTCATTTGGAATTTATTCTTGTATCTAGTGGGAGGAATAGAGATAATTTTATTCTTTTTCCAAGCGGCTATGCATTTTCTCAACATCTTTTATTTCAAATCCATTTTTGACAAAGTGATTTAAGATACTGTCTTAATTGTATACTAAATGTCTTTATGTAGTTGGGTCTATTTCTGGACTCTCCATTCTACTCCCAAGATCTCTTTGTCCGCTCCTATGCTGGTACCACACTGTTCTAGCTACACAGGCTTCATATTATGTTTTAATGTCTATCATATCACTTCATTCAGTGTTTTATAGCTGCACATTTATTTTTCCACATAAACTTCAATATCACCTTCTTCAGCTCCCAAAAGAAGTTTACTAATATTTCCATTAGGATTGCACTATATTTTTAAAGTAATTTAGGTAGAACTGACATTGTAATATTGAGACAGCCTAACCAAGAATAAGTGATGTGTTTAGATTTGTCCAACCTTATTTTTTGTTTCTTTCAAGAATCTTTTTTTTGTAAGAAAGATTGGCCCTGAGCTAACATCTCTTGCCAATCTTCTTTTTGCTTGAGGAAAATTTTTGCTGAGCTAACATCTGTGCCAATCTTCCTCTATTTTATGTGGGATGCTGCCACAGTGTGGCTTGATGAGCAGTGCTAGGTCCGAACCTGCAAACTCCTGGCCACTGAAGCAGAGTGTGTGAGCTTAACCGCTATGCCACCAGGCTGGCTCCTCAAAAATATTTTGTAGCTTTCATTATGTATGGTTTTAAAATGTCTTACTAAATTTATTCTTAGATATTTTATCTTATTCTTGCTACTATAAATGGCATTTTCTCTTCCATTGGTTATAATTTTTGAACATAATGATTACTGATTTTTGCATATTCATTTTGTAGATTTCTACTGCGTAAAACTATTTTATAATTGAGTTTATCTTGTCATTGATTTTGTAAGATTTTCCAGGTATACTATTTTTTCATCTCATAATAAATATGGTTATATCTCTTCTTTTTGCCAATTCTTATGCTTCTAATTGTTTTTCTCTTGTTTAATTGCATTGGTTGACACTTTCAGAACAATGTTAAATCACAGTGGATATGGTGGGCATTATTGCCTTATGAGAATGTCTGTCTCTAATGGTTCCCTATTACATAAGAGGCTGTGTGTGAATATATGACTACAATTTTAAGGAAATAGGAAATATATACCCATTTCTAATTTCTCAAGAGATTTTAAAGAATGGAGATTGATTTTTGTCAAAGACGTTTCATTATTATTAGCATGAATAGAGACAAATAGACCAATGGAACAGAATAGGGACTTCATACATGGACCCAAACTAAGGTAGCTATGTGATTGTTGAGATAAGTGCCAACAAAATTTAATGTGGAGTGGAAAACCTTTGCAACAGCTGGTACCAGAACAACTGGATATCTGAATGATAAAGTGAACCATAGCCCTTAATTCACATATTTGCACCAATTTTTTTTGAGATGGATTATTCACATAAACACAAAATCTAAAATCCATACAGCTTTTGAAGAAAACAGAAAAATAACTTTGTAACCCGAGGGAGGCAAAATTTCCCTTATGAAGGATGCCAAAAGGACTAACTATAAAAGAAAACTGATAAATTGGGTTTCATCAAAATAAAATAATAATTCTTCTCATCAAAATCTACTGTTGAAATAGACTGAGAGAAATATTTATCATACAGTCAATTATTTTATGTGCAGTAGTTATGTTCTATAAAGTCACCGTGAACACTGAATTAGCATCTACTGAGCTATTGCTCCTAGGAGAAATACAAGGTTAGTTTCCTTTGAGCCTCTGGTCCAAACATTTTTGTCAGTGGATCAATATGTAACATTGTTTTATGTGTGTTTTTGTTTAAAGCCATCTTATTTAATACACGGTGTTGATTCATTAACATTGAACTCACAGCCAGCAGCACTATAACTCACGCCTGAATGGAGCTTGTTTAACACATATTTTCTCCATAAGATACCTCACAGACTTCTTTCACTTAAGAACACAAGACAGCACTTCAGCACCATACTTGGGGGCCATTATAAACAGCACAATCACCTACAAAAAGCACAAAAATGTGGCACTAAATAGACTGCAAAAAGGATACTTGTTTGCAGTATGAGAGCTAAAACAAGAAAGCAAAGTATCCCCTTGTTTGTCCTCAGCTAGGACAGGTGACTCAAATTTTTCGCCAGTGTGTGAATGTGAGTAACCACGAAAGTGCAGCGAGTATTGCTTTTGGAGTTACAAATACATTTTAGCAAATAGGAGAATTCACAAACAGGGAATCTGTGAGTAATAAGGATCTACTGTATATATCTCTGAATATATAATGGGGGATTAGATTTTTAGTAAGATCAAGAAAAGGCAAAAGTAATCCATGATTACAGGAGTCAGAGTATTGCTTTCCTTTGTGTGGGACATTGACAAAGCAACTGCGATGATGGAAATGTTTCATATCTTGATTTGGGTGGTCATTTAATTGAGTTTATACATTTTTCAAAACTTACCAAACTGTACATTTAATATTTGTAAATAATACCTCAGTAAAAAGAAAACACTGCAGATAAAGATGTTTTCCATCATATTTCTTTCAGTCTACATGTATCATCACATTTAAAGTAACTGCCTCGTGTTCAGCATATTGTTGACTTTTGTTATTTTAATCAGTCTAAAAATCTTTTTCTTTTAATTAGAGTGTTTATGCTGGCTTCTTTTAATGTGATTCTAGGATAATTAGGTTTAAGCCAATCAACTTATGTGTTTTTTGTTTGTCCCACCTGATATTTGTCAATTGATCCCTTCTATCCTGCCTGCTTTTGTACTAATCAACTATTTTTTCATTGTTCCATTTGTTTCCCTGTTTGCTTTAAATTTTCATGATCTCATGTTATTCTTTTACGGTTTCCCTAGAGGTTAAAATATGTACCAGCGACTTGTCACATCTAACTTAAACTAATACTTTTACCACTTCTGCAAAGAGTCTTGAAAGTGTTTATCTTCCTTTTTTCCTTCCTGTTCTTTGTTGCACTTTTGTCCCATAATTTACTTCTATATATAACATAAATCTTTTAAGACACTATCGTTATAGTTGTTTTGAACAGCCAATTTTCATTTATAGTTACCCACATAACTTCCCTTTCCATTTTTCTTAAAAGAAAAAATAAAGACAAAGAAGGTTTTTCAGATTCACCCAATCCCAGGCAGCCCCTCATTTTCATATTAACTAGTTATATTTTTCCATCATAATAATGACCCTAACAAATATTCTTGTTCTTCCTTTCCTTGCATATTTTCTGACTACCTCCAAGAGCAATGAAGGGTCCGTGAGAGGGAATTTGTGTGTGTGCCTAGCACCTAGCACAACGCTATGCTAGAGAAATGGCTGCTCAATCAATATTTGTTAAATTGCCTGAGCATTCCAGCTTTGCGTTTTGAGCCTTGCCACTTCCCATCCCCACCCCCAAAGTTCCATGCTCCCTGGCTTTGTGATGCAATCTCCAAGGAAGGTTGAGCAGCCTGAGGGTGAAGAGGGAGAGCAAACATGGAGGATGTGATCGGAAGTGAGCAGTTCGTCTCCACGATGAAGGACGAGGAGGTAGGGAAAGAAGGAAGCAGTTGTCACATGGGGAAATGGCGGACCCTGGACATACCCTCTCGGGAGCTGATGTGGCAGTGGCAACGGCTGCTTGTGGACCCTGCTGCACCTCAGAACAGACCCTTAGGGGCTGCCAGCTGTCATGTAGAGGCTCCTACAGCAAGCCCCGTGTAGGCCCAGGGAAGCATGTCCTCAGCACTTCTTCTCTTCTCTTACATGTAGACTAGTTGTCTCGTTCTAGAATCTGGAGAAGGAGACTAGTACATTGGGCTGCAAAGGTATGAAAAAGTCCTCTTAATAATCGAAACTCCGAGGGACAGAGGAACCTCTGGAAAATCTGGCATCAGAGGGAAGGAAGGGGCTCCCTCATTCAGGACACCTCAGGGCTGTGCAGCCTAGGGGAACACTTGAATTCCTTCTGGATTTGAAGAGGTTTGGTGAAGGGCCCTGGGAAAAACCATCCAGTGTAGACTCATGTCTCTCATTAATCATTTTTAAAGTTGGCATGCTTTCCCTATGAGTGCCTACACGAGGATCTGGCATGCCATGAATCATCTCTCCTTCTGTCTCCTGGTGCCTGCACATATTCACAGATTATTCTCTGGATCCAGAGGTGAGGCGGATAAGCCTTGGAGAGGGGCTGCGAGGTGTGGGGCATAGAGGACTGTGGTTGGCTGAATGTGAGGGTCCCTGTTCCCTCTGAGGCCTGCAAACCAGTGTGTTGACTGACTGCAGGGGAAGCAGATGCTCACTCAGGCAGGGATGGAGGAGGGAGGGAGTGGGGAGGGTGGAAACCCTGCCCTTGCAGGAAGGTTTGTGGCAGCTCCATGGGGAGGTTAAACACTCCAGGGGATGGGCTGAAAGTTGCACTGGGTAGGGTGGGGTGGGCAGGGCTCTTTTCCCTCCAGGGGCTGAGTAGGAGCAGGCTTCCTGATCTCTCCATCCCAGCAAACTCTGAGTCCTCTGCCTTCCCTGCCTCCTGCTCCCGAGGAGCTTGCATTGCTTTTCTGTGCTTTGCAGTGCAAGTAAGTGATTCTGGAACAGGAGGTGGCTGGAAGTGTCTTTCTCTCTTGAGCAGACTTCATTCCAATTGAATTAAGACATCAGCAAAGCGCATTTAAGTGGACATCTAATCCTACCATGAAAATCATCAGGTAAGGACATTCCCGCCCTGAAAACAAGAAAGAAGGAGGTCTGTTCTTTCCAAATGTACTCAGGGCAGGTGAGGAGACACCTCTTCTGGGTAGGGTAGAAGAGGGTGGGGGTAGGTTTGGCTTGGCCGGGGTTTTGAAGAAATTCAGATGGCCATGCACACACATACTGAAAGCAGCCCACGTAGTTCTCTGTTGTCACCATGTGAGCGCGGCTGAACTTCGTGCCCAGGACTCATACCTGGTGAGTAGTTGTCCCTATGTTCGCTTTGTCTTTTCTTTATACGTGTGTGAAGGAGTGAAGGGAGGGGAGGCAGCTCAGACCTCCTGAGAATGGGAAATGCCATTTTGTCTTCCCTTTTACATTTTTTGTGTGTGTGCCCTGAGAGAGCTTGAGAGAGAGAGCAGGAGAGAGAGAGAAGCAGAAAAAGCAAGAGGGAGAGGGAAAGATTTGAAGACGCAAGAACACAGGACCCTGGAGACCATCTGTGGGACCGCAGCCCTTTGTGTCAGGGGAGCAGGTGCTCCATTTTACACCCGTGTGTCAGGAATGGGGGACATCCCAACCCCCACCGCGGTGAGTTTCCTTACACCACATTCAGGCAGTTTCATGGCCAACTGGTGTGTGTGCAGCTTGCTGCCCATCTCAGAAGAGCTACACCCCTCCCTCTGCTCCAGAAAAGGAAAGTGCTCCAGGCTGTCTGCTCCCCTCGCTGCCCTAGCCTTGCCCGGCCAGTGATGACTGCCCCAGGTGTCTGTTCCAGTCCTACAAGAGCTCCAGGCTTTCCCAGGCTGCACCACCTGCTCAGGTCATGGGGCTGGGAAGGGGCAGCAAATGGCCTCTGAGGAAGGCCAGCTGTCTCTAGGATCTGTGCTCTTACCCACTGTGCTTTATTGGCTCTGCAGAAGTGAGGCCTGGCAGGAGGAGAGGGAGAAGCAGAGGCTGGAGCCTTTCCTGCCGCTGAGCCTTCTTCTTGAGACGTCACTCAGGACATGCAGGCACTTTCAAACATCCCATTTCCAAAATGGTGTGGGTGGGCAGTCCGGTGGCCTGGGATAGTTGGAGGTGTCTACACAGCCCTAATGGAAATGCCTCGGTGTCTCCAAAGGCCTGTGCAGGTAACCTGCTTTCATAAAATATTTGTCAGTCACAGACAAAAAGTCTTTGCAAAATTAGGCTGACTGCTGCGTATCTATGCCGGGTTAACAGGGATGTGGCGTGGCTCAGTGAATTTTGCTGGTTCTGGGTTCCCTGTTCCCTGCAGACTGAGTTTTCATGCCGCAGCACCATCTGAGAATCAGGAAGCAGAGATGTTGGCACGAAGCTGGCTGTGATAGCAGGTAAAAGGCAGTTGCTTCTGCGGGTGAGAGGGTGGAGGTGCAAGCATGTCAGAGTTGTAAGAATAGCTTCCCTTTCCACACCCCAGATAGGTCATGGTCTGATCAAGTAACGTGGACACAGTTCCCCTCGACCAAAATCATTGGTCTGCAGTAGTGTTTCATGCTATTTTATGCTATTAGAAATGCTTCATTTCTGAACAAGAGATATATGTTATTTAGGAATTCTTAGAATTTTCAGGGGAGCTACTCTCTGTGGATTTTTGAGGTCCTTCCTTTTCTGCATTTAAGAGGAGTTCCCTCAGAGGCTGTGTACGCATTTGCAGGTCCTGATAATCCCTATGGGCTTTATTTACATTTTTGGTGTGAACATAGAAGGTCTTACTTAGAGGGAAGTTTGGCTCATGTGCCAGCATGTTTACACATTCCACAGACCCCACACAGATTATTTCACATTTATATGAAGTATCAGAGCCTGGTATCCAGCTACAGTTGAGATGCGAGAGGCATCCGTGTCCCTTTTGGGCGCCTTTATTCATTCACAGCTGTTGGATCCACCCCTATAACTTGCAGGAGTCGTGGCCATGGTGCGGATGGAAAGCTGATGCCCAGCAGGACTCTGCATTCAGTGTGCTTGTAGTCAGGTAGAGGAGGAAGAGGCCGGTACACAAATGGGTGAAATGAAAGGAGGTCATGACAGAGATGGAGGTAAGAGGCCCCTCCCACTCATGAGGACATATGGAAATGAGGACCCCTGGGCTTCAGATGCTGCTTTCTCAGCAAGGTAAAGGGTAAACACTGTCTCTCTGTCCTCAGTCGCCCAGTTCCACTTGGGAAACCTAATCAGGTCTTCTTTGTCTTCTTCCTCTCAGGACACAGTAGATACAGGGCTTGGATCCTCAGTAATGTTCCCTGCTTCTCCATGTAAAAAGATGGTGTGTCTTGCAGACCAAGGTGTTTGTGTTGCGGTGAGAAATGGATATCCCAGTGCAGGTGTGGGAGGGACACTGCCCCATCCCACCCAGACATGGGAAGGGCACCCCTGATGGAATGCAAACAGGTGAAGAGAGAGATGGGGGCCCCTCTATGAATAGATGGAAGAACAGCTGGGAGGAGAAAGGTTTGCCCAGAGGAAGATGATGGTTGGTGATGAGCTCTGATTGGCCAGTTTTCCTCCGATGCTTCTTACATCCTCTCCAGGTTCCTAAAGTAATCTCACAACCTTCCATGTGGAATGACAGGACATTTCCATGGTGATGAGAGTAATTCTTGATCTCCACCCCCTCTGCAATTGATTTGCTGAGGCAGCTGGTGAGAGTGGGGCAGGAGGTGGGAGGAGAATGTGGCATAGGGACCTTGCCACCCTCTGTCTTCTTGTGCTTCCTGATAGGGACAAGGCAGAGGTGAGAGTGGCATCTGTGTGGGTTGGGGTGGGGCATGGAGGCAGGTGGGTATCCTGGTGTCCTGTGTTCTCCTGATTCTCATGATGTGCATGGCAGAAGCTTATTTTGATTTCTCAGTGCTGTGTTTTCTTTTCTTCCCTTCCTGTTCCCTTAAGTCTCTGCTCGCAAACATACCCCTGTGATGCAGGCTGCCTGGAGACGGTATCTCAGAGCTGCCAAGCATTTGCTGTGGGGTTCATGTCAGCCAGCTCAAGCTCCTGTCCTCAAAACCATCCCAACTCCAAATCTTGTCAATAAAGGACAGCTGCCATTTGTGGTCAATTATGTGAGGCCTCATTGCTTTGGTCCTCTCTACCAATGATGGTCACTGAAGACGGGGAGGACTAAGACTACAGGGCTCATTGAACAAGTAACTTCCTCCCTTGGCCAAAATGGGGACATATGAACTAACAACTTGCTGTTTTTAAGCAGTCAACTGGAAAGAATGTTGCAAATCCAGCAATGTTTGGTCACCAAGCTACATACCCGGCTCCTTCCAACTCTAAGCAAAAGGTAGTATTGATGAAGTGAAACATATGACCTATGCCAGTAATTGTGAAGGCATTAAAGATGCTCCATTCCAGGCAAAACAACATCTTACTGCTCTTTGTTGTTGCTTAAGGAGCCCCCACCTTTTAACACTGTAACCTGTTACCTTTCGCTTTGGAAATAACAACAAAGGCTTACAAGACAAAGGAATGTCAAAATACCGTGTAGTGGTTTGGTGGATTGTTATAATAAGGATGCCCAATTAATCTTGTGTCCCTCTGAACACACACCCTTTTTAATGGGCCTTTCTCTCCTCTTCCCTTAAGGGGTTGAATTTATTTCCCCCAGGCAGTGATGTTGGGCTGGGTTGTAACTTGTTTCTGTCAATAGGATGTTTCAGATGTGGCTTTGCTCACCTTCCTAGGCTAAGCTTTAAGGTGCTTTGCGGTTTCTGCCTTTGCCCTTGTTGGTAACCTTGATATCCTTTAGTCTAATGAGATCAGACTACTTGTTTAGTTCATAGCTTTAAGCAATTTAACTTCTAGAAGCTTTATTCTTCATCTACAAATGTGTGATAAATATGCATATTGCCTTAGGGTTTTTAGTTGATTAGATGAAATAATACATGTGTTCCTAACCAACTCACTGTACTGTCACTATGGAACAAAGCCTCAAGGAGAAAAGGTGCTGGAAATGACTATGTACAATTGAAAATTTTACTATATCTGATTAAAATTTTGTTAAATAGCTTAGAAAACACTTTGAAAATATTTAAAATATATGACACAGAGTCAAACGTATTAATACATAAAAACATTTCAAAAATCAATCAGAAAAGATATGGTATCAAACATTGGGAATAAGATCATGTCTCAAAAATATTTACTAGGCTGCTTAATGCCTTTGAGAGTTGACCTGGAAGAAATATTTATTCCTTTATCAATTATTTACTAAGAATATAGTAGATACCAGGCTGTTTCATGTGCTAGGAATACAACAGAGAATTAAATAGACTCAAAACATGTGCTCATGGAATTGACATCTTGTAATTAAAAAATTTTAATTTTTAATTTAAAAAATTAACTGGAAAATATTTAGGATGCACAGAAGTGATAAATGATACAGGGAAAATATAAACTAGGAACAGAGTTAGAGAGTGCTGTAAGGACAGGTGTTAAGGTTTCAAATATAGTGGATGATGCTGCAATGAGCATCTGTGCAATTTTTTATGTGGACGTATCTTTTCATTTCTCTTGGATATATACCTGAGTGGAATTGTTGGTACATATGGTAACTCAGTTTAGCATTGTGAGGAAGTGCCAAACTGCTTCCAAAGTAGCTAGTCCATTTTATATTCCCACCAGTAATCAATGAATTTTTCTGGTTCTTCACTTTGTTCTTAACCAACACTTGTTGTCTTATTGAGTATAGCCATCCTAGTAGGTGTGAAGTCAAATTTCATCATGATTTTGGTTTGTATTTTTCTAGTTTTTAATTATGTTGCACATTTTTTCATAAGCTTATTGGCAACATGAATATCTTTGTAGAAATGTCTGTTCAAATCATTTGTCAATTTTTTAATTGGATTATTTCTCTTTTTATTATTGAGTTATAAGTGTTCTTTATATATTCTGGGTACTAGGCCCATATCAGATATATGATTCTGGAATACAATATTAAATATACATTTTTAGAGCACATATCTTTGCCTTGCTCATGACCTTATATATAAAACTTTGAGTCTTTCTCAACTGAATATGATGTTAGCTGGAGGTTTTTTTAAGATGCCTTTAATTAGGTTGAGGAGTTTCACGTCTATCCCTAGCTTGACAAGTTTTGTCTTCATCATGAGAGAGTTAATTTTTTATTAGCTACTTTAACTACATCCTTTGAAAAGATAATTTTTTTCACCTTTATTGTCTTATAGTGAAATGCATTGTTTCATTTTTGGATGTTAATCCATCGTTGCATTCTTGGGGTAAACTCCAAAGTGTCATGAAATATGAGAATCTTTATAAATTGCTGGATAAAATATGATAATATTTTCTTAAAGATTTTTGAATCTGTATTTAAGAGAAATATTGCTTTGTAGGTTTTTTTTGGTCATATGTTTGCCTAATTTTGGAATTAGAGCCATACAAGATTTAAAAAATGATTTCAGATGTATTTTCTTTTAATGATTATTTTAATATGAATTGAATTTCTTTACCTGATGTGAAGTTCATGTTTACATTTTTTTTCTTGGTAAGTTTTGGTTGCCTGTGTCTTTCATGAATTTTATTGCTTTTATCAAGTTTGTCAAAGTTATTAGCATAAAATTTTTAATAATATCCTCCAATTATACTTCTGATGTCTCTAGGATCTGTATGGATATCCATTCTTTTATTCTTGATATTGATGATTTGTGTATTCTCTTTCTTTCTCTCTCCATTCTCTTTAATACTTGGTATTGTCAATGTGCTTATTGGTTACCTATATATCTTCTTTACTGAAGTGTCTCTTTATTCTTTTGTCTGTATTTATTTATTTAAGATTGGCACCTGAACTAGCTTCTTTTGTTAATCTTTTTTTTTCCCTTCTTCTTCTTCTTCTCTCCAAAGCCCCGCAGTACATAGTTGTAGGTCCTTCTGGTTCTGCTATATGAGACACCACCTCAGCATGGCTTCATGAGCCGTGCTAGGTCCAAACCCAGGATCCAAACTGATGAAACCTCGGGCTGCCAAAGCAGAGTATGAGAACTTAACCACTCTGACACAGGGTCAGCCCCTGTCCATATTTATTGTTGTTGTTTATTGTTGTTTGTGATTTTTGTTGGTTTCTTATTATCAACTTTTGAATGGTATTTATTTTATTTATTCTTCTTCCAGCTTTATTCAGATACAATTGACAGGTAACTTTGTGTAAGTTTAAGGTGGACAACATAATGAGGTGATATACATATATATTGTGAAATAATTACAACATTAAGATGAGGTACACATCTGTCACCTCATATAATTACCTTTTTGTGTGTGTGTGAGAACATTTAAGATCTATTCTCTTAGCAGATTTCAAGTATACAATATTGTTAACCATGCTGTACATTAGATCCTCAGAACTTATTCATCTTAAGACTGAAGATCGAACCCTTTGACCTACATTTCCACATTTTTCCCACCCCCTCAATTATATATATAATTCATATCACATTTTCTTTATCCATTCATCTGTTGTCAGACATTTAGGTTGTTTCTATGTCTTGGCTGTTGTGAACAATGGTGAAATTAGCAATGGGGTACGGATAGCTCTTGAGATAATGATTTCATTTCCTTCAGTTATATACCCAGAAGTGGGGTAGTGGATTGTATGGTAGCTCTATTTTTAATCTTTTGAGTAACTGCCATACTGTTTTCCATTGTGGCTGCACCAATTCACACTCGTACCAAGACTACACAAAGGTTCCGTTTTCTCCACATCCTCGCCAACACGTTATCTCAGGTCTTTTTGACAACAGTCATCTTAACACTTGTGAGGTGATATCTCATTGTGGTTTTGACTTGCATTTCCCTAATGATTGGTGATATTGAGCACCTTTTCATTTACCTGATGGCCATTTTGCATGTTTTCTTTGGAAAAATATCTATTTAGGTCCTTTTCCCAACTTTTAATTGGGTTGTTTGTTTGCTGTAAGTTGTATAAGGTCCTTACATATTTTGGATATTAACCCCTTGTCAGATATATGGTTTGCAAATATTTTCTCCCAGTTGTTAGGTTGCCTTTTCATTTTGTGGATTGTTTCCTTTGCTGTGCAGAAGCTTTTTAGAAGGAAATATGACCTAAATAAAACTACAACAATAAAAAGCCAAATACACAAAAAATAATTATCACATGAGATGAACTAAACTCACACAACCGTACTTGCACACATATACCTAAAACCTCACACAAACATGAGTGCACTCAGAAACAACAAAGAGTCCCCAGTGAGGTCTCTCACATACGAAAACTAAACCTCAAACTAAGTACAAGCACAAAGGCATACCAATCACTAAGAAACATACAAAAAACAAATCTCCACAATATAATATAAAATTTTACAAAACAGTGTAGAAAATAAAACACAGAAATGCATTGCTGTGGACCAAAGTATGTCCCCCCAAAATTCATATGTTGAAATTCTAACCTCCAATGTGATGGTATTTGGAGATGAGGCCTCTGGGAGTTAATTAGGTTTAGATGAGGTCATGAGGGTGGGACACTCATGCTGGGATGATTATTCTCCAAGAAGAGACACCAGAGAATTTGCTCACTTACTCTCTATCCAAGTGCACACACCCGGAAAAGGCCATGTGAGCACACAGCGGGAGTCCTCAAGTCAGGAAAAAAGCTCTCTCCAGAAAGCAATCACACTGGAAGCTTGATCTTGAACTTCTAGCCTCCAAAACTGTGAGAAAACAAATTTATGTTGTTTAAGCCACCCAGTCTGGTAGTTTGTTATGGCAGCCTCAGCAGACTAAGACATGCATAAACACAGAAATGAAATCAAGCCAAATAACACATGGGAACATGCATGGAAGTAGCAAAAATGGTACTTGAATTAATAGGAATACAAAGGAACACCAAAAGAAATCCAAATCAAGAAAATTCCCTCCCAACAAACTAAATGCTCCCACAAACAGCACAAACAAAGTTATCAGGACAAACTCCAAATGGGTCCAGTCACGATGTCGTATATGTTCTAGGTAGTTGAGATCCAGTGCCCCAGAAAACCTCCAGAGTGCAGAAAGGAGGGAAGGAGACATTGAGCAAGAGGCACAGGTTGTGCATTGTCAAGCATGCTAGGAAGGAAAACCAAAGATTTCTACCCTCTTGGTTAAAAACCTAAATTCCCCCAAGTGTTGGGATATGGGGAGGTATGTGACTGTTTTGAGATCAGCTGTAAAACTGCACAAACACGTCACTCATAAAACACCCTGATATGATTAAAGAGAGATCACTTATGCGATATCGCCTGTTTTCCAACACAGGGATGTAAAATTTACAACCTACTTCCCAAACACATGCTACTACAGATGGTCGCCAACAGTCCAGTGTGCGCTCATGCTCTCTACACCCACCCCCCTTCAGCATTAGGTTGAGGTAAGAAGTTTCACTAAAAGAAAATGGGGAGAAAAACCTAGGCAATAGCCCCTGAGTACTGGTCCTATCATGCCCTTCCATCCTTCAAATATAACTTCAAAACAAACAAAGAAAAAATTAAAAGAGTAATTGCTTCTCAGGAGACTATGCTTAACCCTTCGTAAACTGGTGACACAAATGTTTAAAAGGTATTTTAATAGTCAATAAGAACATAACAAAGATAATTCATAAACTTGGAGACAATTGAGGTAGCCATCCAAATAGTGAAACAAGCCAGACTGAGAAAGACAAATACTGTGTGGTCTCACTTATATGTGGAGTCTAAAAAGGCTGTACCGATAGAAACAGAGAGTAGGATGGTGGCTGCCAGAGGCTGAGGGGTGGGGGAAATGGGGAGACGTTGGTCAAAGGGCACAAACTTTCAGTTATAAGATGAACAAGTTCTGAGGATCTAATGTACAGTGTGGTGACCATAGTTAACAATACTGTATTATACTTGAAAGTTGCGAAGAGAGTAAATCTTACATGTTCTCATCACAAAAATAAGGTAGCTATGTGAGGTGTTAATTTGATTGTGGTAATCATTTCACAATGTATATGTATATGAAGTCATGTACACTTTAAAAAATCAAGTCATATACAATTGACAAAAAATTCTCAATATATGCAATTTTTGTTTGTTAATCATACTTCAATAAAGCTGGAAAAACAAGAACATGTTTTAATCTCTAAGAGGAAAATGGGCTTTGGGGTTGAGCAGTGGAGAATCTGAGAGGCAGGAGACTATATTGAGAGCTCTAAAAAAGAGAGGTCTTGCAAATGATGAGACATCAATAAGTGAAAAAAGGTTAGAGAATTTGGCGATAAAGAGGAAAAAGTCTCAGCTGACAAAGAAGGAGGGTTGTGTTCTCAATACATACGATCTTTTTCCTGCTTTAGTCAAGCCTCACTTGGCAAAAATATATAAATTCTTGCAAAACCTAAGTGTAAGTGTTTTCCCAGGAGCCCACAGTTCCTATGCATATTCTCTTAAAAGGTACAAAATCTTCCTTGAGGTAGCCCAGCACTGAAGAGTGGGTGCCTGGGCTCCAAAGAAGGCATCTCTGTCCATGTAGCTACAACCCCATTCCCTGAGCCATCACTTATGTCCTACATGTTGTACATTACTTTTCTCAAAAAGGCTCCATTCATATTTGAATGGCACATTCTTGTGAAAGTCACTGCACACTGAATGGCTCAACGTGGCAGCTCAAACCGATTATTCATATCAATGTAGCTTTCATTCAAGCCTTCACAGGTTTCTGCCTTTGTATGGCATTGAGATAATTATGGACCCATCAAAGGAAGTCTTTATCTCTGAAACTAGTTTGTTGTTTTTTCCTTATTGGTAGCATTTCCGTTAACTCTTTCTTATAGTTTCTATCTCTGTGCTAAAATTCTCCATCTGCTCATACAAGATGTCTCCTTTTTTCCACTAGATACTAAATATGTTAATCATAGTTATGGTAAAGTCTCTGTCTTATAGTTCTTATATCTGGATTATCTCTGAATCTGGTTTATTGATTTCTTAGTCTCTTGGTACTAGGTTTCCTTGTCTTTCTTTTGTGTATGTGTTTAAAAATGTTTACTTAATGCTGAACATTATGTGTAGAACAGTAGAGAATGAGATCAATAATATTTGCACCTGGAAGTGAACACGCTGCTTCTTCTTTCAGGGTTTTCTTATGTGATGGGGCAGTTGAGTCAATTTGATCAGTTATTCACCTGGGAGCAGGTTCTATTATTGTGGTGGTCGGCTGACATGCAATGCAGGCTTTAAATTCCTCTAGCATTGTTTTGTGCTTCGGGGACGTCTAGGTTCCAGGGATTTTTCTCAGGACTCCCGCTGTTCTCACTGATCTTGACATCCATTACACCTAAACCACATAGGGATCTCTAGCCAGGTCCCTCCCACGTTCTTAGTGGGAGACTGCTCTTGTTTGTTCCTCGGGTGTTTGCTAGGCCAGTGTAATTACTTCCCTTTCTCTGTCACTGGTAAGCCAGTCTCTGCATCCTATTTCTCCTTGGAGGGGGCTGTCTTTCATTAAAATCAAGCTACTTAACAGATCTGTAAACTTAGATGTCTAAAGTGTTCAAGAAAAGTGATGAGTTTGGTGCTTATCTGACTTTTTCATGTCGTTTGCTTGAAACCCACCTTTCATTGTTCTAAATCAGGCAGCAGCAGAATTGGACGTATGCTT